TGGCGCTGGGCGCCGCCGCCCGGGCCCTTCCCTGGAGGGGTGTGCTGCCTCCCCACGCGTGCCGGCCTGGCTGTTCGCACCCCCGCTTGGCCTTTCGGTGCCCTTGCCTTCTGGGAAGCTCTGCTTTACCCGTGCTTTCGGTTTCTGAACACGTAGTTCATTTCCAGGTGTTAATTTTCTTTCCCTTCTCCGTAGTCTCTAAATTGGCCTAGCTATGGCTCCTAGACTAGCGTGTCCACCTCGAGGTGTAAGTAGGGACAGAGCTGAAGCAAGGGCAACGAGGTGATTTTGGTTTGGGTTTTTTTTTTTTTTTTTAAGCTTTAGTAGCAGTGTAAGTCTAAAGGTCAGTGGTGTGTCCAATGTGTTTTAACAGTCTTTTTTGACTAATATCAATTTCTCTCTTGTTGTTTCCTGGAATACAATTTTGGTGTAGTTATTGCTTTTTTTTTTTTTTTTTTAAAATTGCATGAGTAGTTAGGTTTCTTTATTATAGCCATATCTAGCCTCTAGCCTGATCTTCAATATCCTGAGATCTTAAAATTGTTAGAAATCTTTATAGAAGTCCTTGGCATTCCTTTCATTGTAGGGTGTGAGAGAGTTTTGAAATACTACCTCGAAGGAAAGCTGTGATGTAATAATTCTGATAACATTAATACATTTTTCTGTTCTTGGGATTTTTTTTTCTTTTTACTGAAAAAGGAAGCACATTTGTGGCTCTTGAGTAACAGATTAATTAAATATTTTTTTTTTAGGGTGGCATGAAACAAAGATCTCAGGGTGGAGTTCCCACTTGATTCAAGTAGATTCAGTGTTTTTGAAATGAGGAATAAGATTATCTGATAGTTGCTTTCACAACAAACCTCTTGTTGTTAAATGGTACTTATATTTAGTCGCTTCTAATTAGTAGTTTTTAAGTGAAAGGCACTTCAAAATAGGGTTGAAGAATATTGCTTCTGATTATAAGGATTTGCAAACCTAGCTAACTTGCCAACATTGGAGGACACATGAATGATTTTTTTTTTTTTTTTGGCCCCATTTTCATTTAATGAGCATTCTGGTGATGGCACTGGCCTATCAGGTATTTAGAATACCCAAAATTAACTCTTGGTTTTCCCTTTGGTCCTTGTCCATCCCTGTTGGTATAGGATGAGAACAGCAGTGAGACAGTTATACCCTGTTTTAACTTTTTGTCACAAAGCTTGCATCTGTAGGCTGGATTGTCTGACAAATATTGGTTGGTTCCCTTGCAATGGGAAGGTTGCTTAACTAGGCCAGATAAAATGGCAACATCATTTTTACTGTAATAACCCTTTAAATTTAGACACAGATACCAGTTTGTTAACCTCTCAGGACATTACTGCTTAGCATAAATCTCGTCTGTAATGGTTGTCTAGTCAGACTGGGAATGTTGAATACAAAAGCAAAGAGCTTGTTTATACTGTAAAAGCATGTCTGTGCTAAAGGCTAGTATAAAACTGTAAAGGTAGAAATAATTATTCTTCTGAAGATGCTAATTAGAAGTGGGACTTACTCATTAAAGGAAAAATACATAGCTAAACCTTCTCTAAATTATTTTAAACTGCTAATGAATTGTACAGTTGCTATACAGCAGAAATTTAGAGGGGAAGGAGCATCGTTCCCACACTTTCTTGTAATTTGGTCTACCACCTGCTGCTGCTTATTGAATAAATAATGGGAACCATTTAATGTCGTGTCACCAGGATTAGTATCTGTTCTGCTATAGAATTTTTTTCTTCAAGACTTCTTTTATTTATTATGGACTTGAACTTGGGCTAAGCCTTTTCAAGCTTCAAATGTTCCAAGTAATTTTCATGTCTTTTTTTTTTTTTTTTTTTTTTTTTTTGAGACAGTTTACTTTAACTCTGTGGAAAAACAGACTTGTTTTATGTTCTTGAGTGACTGATGGATGTCTTGCTATAGTGACCTGACTGTAGAGTTTAGAACTCTGTACTAAAGAAGGGTTTTTTAAATTTTTTTGTTGTTAAACTGTATGTAAATTTTTTTGCTCAGAGGAGATTGGGGTTATCCTTGTATGGCTTAGGGAGGTGGAGTAAGGTACTCTGGAAAACTGTGTTAGTAATTGTAGAAAGATAAGAAACAGTCTTGTGCATTACCATTGCTTCCTAGAATAGTTTGGTTTTGTTTTGTTTGTTTGATTTTTTTTTTAATAGTAGCAGTTCATACAATCAGGCTGTATATGGCAGGTGTAATTAAGGGGTTTTTTTGGAGGGGGGGATCATGTGCATGCTATTGTGAAACAACAGTCTGTTAAGTGGAATGGTGCCCTAAAGGAAACTTTTCTGAATTGGGTGTTACAGGAAAGTATTCCCTTTATGTAGATAAGGCCATGAAAAGATGGAAAGAAAATTTTTTGAGAAGGGAAAAAAAAAAAAAAAGAAAAGCTTGCCTCTTGATCCTGTGTTATTGAATACACTTATGGTCTTGTGGGGATCTGCAAAAGATAAGCAATTCTATAGCCAGGTGTTGAAAATTTAAATATTGTTTAAAAGTGCTGTATAAAAATGAAAGTAATCATTTATGCTTTCAATTGAAAGGTAACATGTGAGAGTACTGCCCTTATTTCTTTCCATTTACTTAAACAAAAAACCCAACAAAAAACTCCCCCACGCTAGAGCAAGATAGTCAATTATGTTAATCCGACTTTCTCTGCAAAACAAATGTGACCAATCAGTTTGAAAAGATAGTAGAAGGTTTTTGTTTGCTTGTGTTTAGCCTTTTTATGGTGCTTATCTAGTTAGTTTCATTGTTTCCCCCCACCCCCCTTTTCCCCCCTTCTTTCACAGTATGGGGGGAGCTATTAACCCTTTGAAATGTGCTGTTTTCTGTTTTTTCAAACTTTATAAAATACAGTGCTTCTGTAACAGTGGCCTTTTGCTATTGAAATAATGGGAAAACAGTCACGGAAGGAAGGTAGAGCTAGAGTGTATCTTCACAGGGAGGAGAACCATGCAGGCCTGTGTGAGACCTTAGGCTGGTATCTATCCATTGGGCCAGGGAGGCTGGGTCACAGCTAGTCCTGAATGACAGGTTCTTTAACAGCGGGATTGCCAGAGGCTCCCTGTCTGAGAAAGGGACTTTAAAGAGAGCTTTTTCTTACTGATCCAGCACTCCTACTACTTGTTTGTTTTAAACTAACAAGACAACCACCCAAACTTAAACCCCTGTATGTTACAGGGTGGGGAGAAACTTCATCAGACGGATGGCTAGTTAATGGCATGAGAGGTTCCTTTCAAAATTTTGTGTTGAGCATTTAAAATATGGGGCAAATGATGTGGCAAAACAGATATGCACTCCTTTTACATTGTGAAAGTAAAACCTTGTAGGTCCTTCCAGGTAATTTTCATAAGCATCTGTCAAATCTGACTTTGTGGAACTTCAGGAAATAACTGTCTGCATTACAGTTTTTCCAAATTTCCAGTTTCCTGGTTTTTGGTGGTAACTGTCAATTCTGGAAACGTGAGCTGGTAGTTGATTTCTGGTAATTAAAGATGTATGGAGAAATCTACTTGAAAAATTAAGAACTGGATGGTCTTGTAATGCCTCTTCTCTACAAGCAGATTACCTAAGCCAAGAAAACATCCAGTGTTCACAGTGACCATCACTGAAAATCTGTAGGTGTTTCACAGAATGCTGTAATTGTTTGAGCCATCTGTCTGTTAACTGCCTGCATATACGAATCTGCCTTGAAGAGTATTTTTAAAGAGTTGTAGCATTTTTTGTGGGTATGCAATGATAAAACGTTCACTATTAATTAGCCTGTTACCTTTCAGCTCCAATGGCGATTCCTCCATCATATGTAGACCTTGGCAAATCTGCCAGAGATATCTTCAATAAAGGATATGGTAAGTATAGTACCTTTTACAAAACGTGGTGTTTGTGGTACAGCAATGAATTGCCTTTTTAAGCCTGTATGTAAAATGGCCATGTTTCTGGGGAGGGTATGTTGGTTTTATATTTTTACCATCAGCTGATAGAACATTGGAGGCTTTTCGTGGGCTGTTTTGATTTGAAGTTTGTTAAATCTTACTGCTTTAGCCACACAAATGTTAGAGGTGTACAAATATGCAAGGATATAAGCATCAAGTGTTAATTTAACTTAGGAGTACTCTTTGTTTACCAATCTGTCTGTGCTGCAACATTTCTGGATATAAAAAGGGTTAATACCACTGTAACATTATAGCCTTTTTTTGAATAGAAAGAAGAATAGCTCTTGGGATAAAGAATTCTTCAGCATTTTAAAATGCTTTAATACCAGCCAGTTGCATAGTTAAATTCTCCTTCATTACAGTGCTGTTTCTTTCTGGTCTTTGGGAATGCATGTGAGGACTTTTGCACCAAGACTGTTGCTAAATTCTACGGCTGACAATGTGAATTGACGCTCCCATAAAACCTACTTCGTTACAGTTCCAATGTCTGTATTTCCCAGTGACTTCAACTTCAGAGCTTTTTACTTTGAGACATTTCTTCTTGGTGCTGAGAGAAAAATTTTATGCATTGGGATAGGTCTTCAAATGGCACTGACTACAAAGCTTATGCCATGCTGGGATCAGAGACAAATGCATTTTGTCTGTCACTAAATTTACTCTTGGAAGTCATCATTTGGTAGTTAAATGTACAGTGTACAACTGAGAAGCTACTCCCCACTTTCTGTGTGGTGATGATAGAACAGGACTCCTGGCTTGTTCTAGAGTGGCCTCCTCTACCTGCTGTGGCATCTAAAATTTGAGTGTTACTGAAGTCAGTCTATGGTGGCACACTGCTGATACTGCTCGGAAAACCAGCTTCTTGGAAAATGCACGTGATCTTAGTTAAAGCCTATTGGTGTAACTTTGACTTCTGTTTGTTAAGGTTTTGGGTTAGTGAAACTGGATGTGAAAACAAAATCTGCAAGCGGAGTGGTGAGTTTAAATACCTTTTAATCATTATAATTTTTTTTTCTGGATATGTTCTGATGTTTAATTAGAAAGGACACCTTCCAGATGTTGCTAAGTAGTTTGCAGGTTATATGAATGATAAACTTTTGGTGTAAAATAATTTCAGAAGCCTCTAAAGATCTGACTTTATTCTGAATGTAACAGGGGTATCACACTGGTTAGTAATCATCATAAAATAAGGTTTATTAGTTGTCCCTTGTCTTATGTCTGCAGGTGGACAAATGGCTGACACATTTTTGAAGTATTTTATTTCTGAAGTATTTTAGTGTATCAGTCATAGTACACAGAATTTATTTCTAAAGTACCTTGTGATACTGTTTGTATTTGGTGGAAATTTCTGGCATCTTGATGTGTGAAGTAGCTGGCAGTGAATTAGCACGTTGAGTCTTTGGCTCCTCTTTAAAGATATTAAAGTGTTGCAGTAATGTTCCATGCAAGACGTCTCGGTCACGCAAGCAGTGCTTCCTGTAACTTTCACCTAATTATAGAGCAGGCTTTGCAAGATATAAAGGTAGATTTTATTTTTTCTCGTAACTGGAAGCTTTAACAGTGTAATTGGCTGTTAGAAACAAGGTCTGTGGGTTATATGCTGTGTTTTTTCTAGAAGTCTGTATCCCAACTCAAGCACAGTTTAAGAGCTGTATTATAGATGTAATTGTTCTTGTAGGAGTTGATTTGAAAATAATACTCTGCGTGAAGGAAGTCGGAGATCAAAATTTTTATATGCTTTAAAAAGTTGAAATAATAAACTTTTTAAACCATAAGGACAATAATATTTCGGTGAAAGGAGCTCCTTAACATATACTTGCAAACCAGACTTCCACTTCTACTAGTAAAGGTACTGCCTTTAGTTTCTGAATAGTGGTACATAGAAAGTATTTGTTCTGTTCTTTGTGAAAATCCAAATAGTGAGAGACATCAGGGACTACTTAGTTTAATAAGGAGATGTGAGTGATATTGCTGCCTTTTAAATGCTTTCAAGAATTCCAAGTAAGACTGTCAGAAGCATAAAATCAAATTGTTGTCTTGGCTCACAATTCAAACATGAATGTTCTTCCTGTGTGTCATTAAACCAAAGTGTCAGGGGAATAGGAATTTTACAATGTCAGTAAAACCACATGTGCCTATGGGTTGAGAAAGTGTATTGGTTAGACTGAGAACTCTCTTAAAAAGCAACAAAAACACCAAACTAAATAAAAAAAAAATCAAACTACCACCCACCCCACCTCTGATTTGAAAAATCATGGTATTCTATGAAACTTTACAGTTGCACGTAATTTATCTTTGGAGGTGGTTGACTGAAATAATGAAGATACGTATGTGATCCTTAAAGAATTTTACTGGAGTTGCAGTATGTGCCTTATAGTGTTCTTGGCTCTTGACTTTTAATTTGCTCATTAGGAGTATCAGACTTAACCCTAGATTTCAAGAACTTGCTTCTGCTTTTAAGGAGAATACTTATGGTAACTACTGTCTTGCTTCTGACTTATGTCGCAAACCTGTATGTTTTGTAATAGTGGCAGAAACATTGCAGTTGAGATGGGGAGTGGGGAGAGGCCTCCATGTGGGCATGAATTGTCTAGTTCTTGTCCCTGTCGTTCCCCCTTCTCATCCTGCAAGCTGATTAATGTTGTTGAACTTGTTGTATAGAATAACAAGATCTTAATGTTTACTGAAGAAAAGTCTTTTCTCTTTTGGCACTGTATGATGCTTTCAGGATCACATGTATCTTCTGTATAACATGGACACTGTCCTTTTTAGGAATTCACAACATCAGGTTCATCGAACACAGACACTGGAAAAGTGAATGGGAGCTTGGAGACCAAATACAAGTGGGCTGAGTATGGGCTGACTTTCACAGAAAAATGGAACACAGATAACACTCTGGGAACAGAAATTGCAATTGAAGATCAGGTAATAGATTAGGAGAGTATTTTATTTCTTCTACCTAACTAGCAGAACTGAATTACAGCTTTATTTTCTCTTTTCCCCCTGTCTTCTCCCCCTTCAATTAGATTGCCAAAGGCTTGAAGTTGACATTTGATACAACTTTCTCACCAAATACAGGGTAAGAATTGTTAACCTTTTAACCTTATTTAGGGCAGTAACAACACCCATGATCAGTAAATGTTCATGTGGTCTGTTGTATTGTCAGAGATGTTTGTATGGTTTGCTGTTGATCCAAATTGGCAAATCCCAGTGCAAAAGGCTTGTGGTCTTCAGCATCACATCTTATTGCATGGGGTTAGTATTGGACGTTTCACAACAGCCCACTTTGCTTATTAACTGGGATAGAAATACTTGGAAGATTGCAGGAGGCATGAAAATCCCTCTACATTCATCACAAAGTGCCTGTTCGCGGTAGCCCGGTGCTTTTTTGATGGAGTAGCTGTGCTTTGGCCCAGTCTAGAGGATGCGTATGCGTGGCATTTAGATACATTGTGTAGAGTCATTTGGCTCGAATTTGGCAGCTCATTGAGGAATATCAAGCCTTGTCTTAAGATAACTCTTTCTCTGTTTCAGAAAGAAAAGTGGTAAAATTAAGTCAGCTTATAAACGTGAATGCCTAAACCTAGGTTGTGATGTTGACTTTGATTTTGCTGGACCTGCAATCCATGGTTCAGCTGTCTTTGGTTATGAAGGCTGGCTTGCTGGTTACCAGATGACTTTTGATAGTGCCAAATCAAAATTGACAAGAAATAACTTCTCTGTGGGTTACAAGACTGGAGACTTCCAACTGCACACTAACGTGTAAGTACTAAAAATTGTGTCTAGATTTACAGAACTAGGCTTTCTCTGCCTTTCTTTCTAGTCAGAATACAAATGCTTGAAACACCAAGAGGTGCTCTCAAGGCCATTAAGTGGAGTGCATTTTTCAATAGGAAACTAAATAAATGGTAAATGTTACTTTGTATCTGTCTCTTTCAAAACTGTAAATACCCATGGGGTGTTAACACTTACAACATAGTAAGTAGATGCTACAGCTTACCAAATACTAAAGCACATTCAAATTGGAACTGCAGTGGTTCAGTTATGCAGAGCTGATCATAATGCTTTTTCCAGCTTTTGCATTACATTGAATTGTATCTGACTATAATTTAAGGGCAGTAGATTTGTTAGAGGTAGTAATTAGTGTTGCAGTGTTTAAGTAGGCCAGTAGTAGTTTCTGGAGCAAGGCTAGAGCTTTGCATTTGCACTTTTTGAGTAGGTTCATCTTCTTGCCTGTTTGGGATGAAGAGTGCGTGAAACAGAGTGTAACTAAACAAGTGTATGATATATTGTTTATGAACTTGCTTCAGACTTGCTGCCTCTAGAGCTTAAATGTTCTCGAGTAGGTTTTGATCAGCTTGCTCTGAAGAACATGGTGTTTTCAGTCTAAGCTAATAAAAATTGGCATTGTTCTAGCTTGTTTAGTTAGTAAATGACTTGATTTTTCAGGTAGAAGTTTGTCCTTTTGGAGGGGGAGAATGGGGATTGTGTCTGTCTGGTTTTGTGGAAGTTGAGGGGTATGGGAGGAAGTTACAAAACATTAGTCTGGCCTGTAAGAATTCCATTTCAGTTCACTAATGTCAGATGTTGTGACCGATTTTTAAAAAGGTCATCCAATTCTTTAGGAATATCATATGTGTTCAGTAATCATAGAATTCAGAATGCCTGCTTCCTAACTATTAATATTTATCTGCTAGTTTTGTAAGGATGTGATCTGGAATTACATTCAACTACTTAGTTCAACATTAGTGTGAGAATTAGCTGTAGCACTTTGAAACATCTTTTTTTTCCCCATGAATTGCAGTTTAATTTTGCCATGAAGCCTTTGTTCCGCTTTCCCTCTCCTGTTGAAAAATGAAAAACAACTCAAACTGTTGGAGTTCTCATTTGAATAAAAATTTGAAGTAGTTAAAAAATAAAAAGTTGGGATTATGTAAATGGAGGAAACTAACTCTTTTCTTTATTTGTACAGCAATGATGGTTCAGAATTTGGTGGGTCAATTTACCAGAAAGTGAGTGACAATCTTGAAACTGCTGTAAACCTGGCTTGGACAGCAGGTAGCAACAGCACTCGCTTTGGCATTGCGGCTAAATACAAGTTGGATTCCACTGCTTCTATCTCTGTAAGTATGGCTCTAATCAAAAGGGTTATGCTAAGCACAGTGTGGTTTTGGTTTCTGTGAATCTGTGTGTTGCTAGTACAAAAGAAGGTAATAGGTCAGGAAGTCTTGTATGAATTACTTTTATGATCTGGGCAGTTATAACTAAGCAGTGTAATGCTGCATACAGCAAAGTCTCCTTTAGAATCTGACTGTGAAATGTTGTGCTACTCTAGAGGACTTAATGTATTTATTTTTTAAAAAAAAAAAAACAAAACAAAACAAAAAAAAAACAAACAAAAAAACCCAAACCCAACCCCTTCAAGTCTAGTGCCATAAGTTTACAGATTTTTTTTGCCACCAGTTTTTGGGGAGCTGTGTCACTTTCTCATGGCAAGAACTCTGGTGATACTGATTTAAAAGGTGATACGCAGAAGTTTTCTGTATGTTATAAAGTTAGAATTGAACTTGGATTGTTGAAGTCATGCTGTAGAGGAAGAGAAGCAAAGTGAGATAAATAATTTTGCACATACTGTTTATGATGATACTATGAAATGTTTGCTGCTTGACTGATTGGATCTGCAAGATACTAATTCTTCTGTAATAATATGAAGATCTGAAGTGGGTGGTTTTGTGGTGGTAAATTGCTATGGCTTTCTGAAATGGGGGGAGTGGGGAAGTTCACCAGCCAAACTACATTCCGGTAACAGTTCTCCCTGGCCTTGCACTCTGTCTGCTCTTAAATGTGTTACTTCTTCAGCTTTAGGTTGGGGGGCAAGGACATAATTGGGAAGAGAGAATCCAGTAAGCACAGAGATACTGAAAGAACAAGTGAAATTTGGTTAAGTTGGTAATGGCAGTGTTGCCATAGTTATTCTAGCTCCTGAAAGGTCACTATGGACTAATTGGTTACAACGTTTCAATTGCTTTTTTCTTTTGTTTTTTTCAGGCAAAAGTGAACAATTCTAGTCTAGTTGGAGTGGGCTACACCCAGACCCTGAGGCCAGGTAAGGGTTATCACATGAATTATGTCACATACATATCTTTCATGCATCACAAAGAAAATCTTTGAGATGCATATGTTTATATGCAACTATTTCCCTTATTCAGAATAATTTTGTCTTGAAGGCAAAGTAGATGTTTTACAGTAGCTTATATTTTACATCAAACCTTTATCTAAACAACACAAATTCCATTGTATCTAATGGTATTTCTGCATCGTATTCCTCACTGATTTGTGTAGGGAGTGGACTGTATTGTGCTTGATTGCTTTGCACAGCCTAAAGCTAAGCTGTCTTTTTCTTAGCATTGCTTTCTTCAGTCATATCGTATTGAATGCTAGCAGGTCTTGAAATAATGATTAATCATCAAAAGAACACACTTTCTGCTCTTCATATTTAGTAAAAAAACCTCCAGAACTTAACTTGTTCTGTTTAACTGTGAAAACACCTGTTAATGCTATGTTACCATTGGTTAGTTCCTTGTTTGAAAACCAGTAAAATTGTAGTTTCATTCCACCCCTTCCTTGGTACAAGTGTCTGTCTTTCTATGCATATTTTTCCTCCTTTGCACACTTTAATGGTAGAAAAGGAGAGCTCTCGTGTACTTGCCAACTAGAGACTTTGCGTATCCACTTTATAACGTGGTATTTAAAAAAGCATCTAGCTAGCTTGATTCACATGACTAGCTTTCCATAGTTTTCATGGGTAAATGGATTCTTCCGTAGAAATCTAGGAAAGTAATGAAATAGAAGAAGAGCTACAACTGGGACTTGTAATGATGGAGGTTGAGTTGTGTGAAAGCTACTCTGATTGTATGTTGTAAACATGCTGTTAAAAAATCTTACAGGTGTGAAGCTTACACTGTCTGCCCTGATAGATGGAAAGAGCATCAATGCTGGTGGCCATAAACTTGGTCTTGGCCTGGAATTGGAGGCTTAAAAAGGTGAAGAAACTGCTGCAGAGAAGGGATATCAGAAGAATTTGGCCTTAAAATGTATTTCCAATGTGACCAGCAGGCTTTTTTTCCAAGAAGGATGACCTAGAACAAGAGCTGTATTTGAAGTATTTAGACAGTTACTTGTTAGCTGGTTTCTAGTTAAATTGGTTACCCATCTAGTAAAATTCTGCATTAGTGCAGTCACTTAAACATTATTTAAATGTATTTAACTGTTTAATGCGCTACCCACAAATAATGAAATAGACATTTATGAAAACTGTACAATTGTGTGCATGTTTGTTTTTATGTTCCTTTTAACATTCGATATTGCCATTGAATGAAAAATGGATCAGTGGATGTTTTGAAATGAGGTCAACAATTTTGTTAAATCACCTGAAGTAGAAATACATTTGGTATCCCAAGACAAATTATGAATAAAACAAGTACACACACATACTTGTGCCTCAGATATTTTAAGAGTTAAGATATGAGGGTAGTGCTCAGTTAAGTTTTAACTTAAAATAATCCAAGGAGTAGTGCTCTATACCCTTGTGCAATTAAGGATCCCCACCCATGACAACACTGAATATAGATGGTTTTCACTGAACAGTTGGACTCCTCAAGCCAGTTGAATGTGCTTTTCTGTCAGGTAAGACTTGTCGTGACACAACGGTTTAATTCCCCGTGTTCCACGGGCAAGATTTACTGCATTACCAGTTGGCCTCCTGATGCAAAGAGTGCAGAATGATGTACTTGGTACACTGAGACATTTAAGAACTGCTCCTCGATGCTTTTGCCCAAGGGGTGACAAACCTCACCACAAACACACCTTTTGCTTATATTTGTATGAAGTGAGATGTGTATCTGCAACTGAATGTAACAGTGTAATGGTTTAACAGCCTGCTTATCCCAACTGCTGTGAGAGGTTTCTGCTTAAAATGACTGAAATAAAGGCTAAATTTTAAATGGAGATGGAGGAAAATGCATGCGACTTTGCTTTCCCTTTGGCAAATAAATCTTGGCGCATACCCTTTTAAGTCCAGAAACAAGCATAACAACAGAAAATCTATTATATTTTTTCCAGGATAGCATTAAGAGAGAATAGAAATACGAGGGCTATTTGGTCTGTGAACGCCCCTTAAGGTCATATGTAACTAGCTATGAATACTTTTAATGTGGAATATATTAAATACATGCAGTTACAGTGCTTATGTTTACTGGGCTCAGGGGAGCACCTGGAGCCCACCTCTTGCAGTCTCTCATAGCTGAGAAGGGTATCTTGATACTTAGTCTTGCAGGCTGCAGGTCACAGCAGCTTCCTTTACAGGGCAGGTGGCTAGCTTGCAATCAGGAAGCTTTATCTCTGGTTTGCAAGCTGTGTTCGGTTCATGCTGGATTAGACTTAACCCCCATAAAATTTGTCATGGTTTGCTCAAGGTCTTATCCCATCCTGCATTGTTGCCCTCATACTCAAGTTCTTGAGTACTGTGTTGTAAACTGTGTTTTAGGCTTTAGCTGTGGAGTAGCTGAGCCACCTGTTTTGCAGAAGATAGATAGAGCGGAGCTTAAGCTTCTAGCTCAGGCTCTTGAGCAGGCTTGCTAGTGTATTTTACTATTTTATTTTTTTTTTTTACATGACAAAGAAGGGTTTGGCAGCATTTGTGCTTTGGAGTACCTTCACTGCTGTTGTCACTAAATGCCCTTTTCTGAGGAGCACTTCCATGGCTTGGTGATGGAAGCAGCATGTAAGGTGCAATTTTGTTCTCTTACTGCGTGTTAATGTTTGTAAACTGTATTTTTAGTTTGAAGTATTTTTATGTGCTAGACCACTTAAAGCTACAGACCATGCAGCCAGACATTTGAATTTTAGTACAGGTTATCTTCTTAGTATGACCATCTTTGATGCCTTGCAAAGCGTGTCCAGGCTTCTGGGGGGGGAAATAAAAAAAAATCCTATGTGCCTGTATGCATCGTCCAGCTGTAGCACCTGGGCAAATAAAGGACTCTGTCTTTTGCTTATGAACGATGCCTTGTTTGCATCTTTAAACCAACATGGCTGCAACACTGATGTTTCTCAGATTTTGGGAGGTTTTGATAGGGCTGTAGTGGTTTGACACTGGTTTGGGGTTGGTTGGTTTTGTTTTCTGGTTTGGCTTTTTTTTTTTTTTAGAAATAACTATTCTAACCCTTCACTACCTGCTCACCTCTAGCTGTTTTTCCTGGTCACAAAATGGGCAAGTGAGATAAAAGCAGATATTGCGTTTTCTCTTCAACTCTTCATACAAGTTGGTAAGGGAAAACTTGAACCTACCGATTTTACTCTGTTTTCATGTGCTTCACTTTACTAGTCCACGGCCTTTAAACCTTAATTAGTTTCATTCGTTACAATGCTGATAGGCAACTGGAGAAATAAGAGCTCTGCAGTAGTTAAGACAACTGTCAAATGTGAGTTTTCCTAAAATACTCATAAATCACTCTTTCAAGCATGAAAAGGAAGTTCAGTGTCTATCTCTTGACATCTCTCAAGTCAGGCATACAAAAATGGCTTTCAGACTTTCAAGTGTGTTACAGAAGCTGGTGGTGTAGTTGGAGTTTTGTGGTAAGGAATGTCAGTAGTTTAAATAGCTCCATTTTGTTAGAACATGTAAAAAGCCTTAATGATAACTTTCAGTGCTAGCCAGCCTTTCCTCAGGTGTCATTCTGAACAAAATAAAAACGCTCGAGATCACTGAGATCACCAATGACCTGAGTGTGGCTGGGCATCTTCTTTGTGTGGGCTGCAGCATTGCATTTTTTTTTTCATTCCTGCCTGGTACAGCTGGAGTAGGGGTTGTTTGTGTGCATATTGCAAGGAGACTTCATCACACTTCAGTAAATAAAAATCCTTTCACATGAGATGGACACCTTGGATTTTGCAAGTTACTGTCTGAGTGACTTCAACATCTATGTTCTTGCTGTGCTCTAGAAATTCTCCAGGTTGTTTCAATTGACCTTGCACTCCTTACGTGGTTCAGCTTGGTGTGGTATATTCTTAAATCTGCTTCTTGCACTCTGCAGTCATTCAAAACCAGGAAATTTTTTGGAACTATTTCAGAATGGGCATGGAAACATTTCACCCCCAAACACTGGGACACAGGTTTTTACCTTTCCCTTGTCTGTTGCTGGGGTAGAGCCAGGTAGCAATAGAGTGTGCTATCTTACTGCCCTCTCAAGGCCCTGTTCTGCCCTTCGGCTTTATTACTGCAATAATTTGTCTGCCGGGCACAAAGATGCATTTAAATCTACGGTGACTGCACTTCTGTAGGAAGTAGAACCGAGCAAACAGAAGACAGCCCACGCATGGATGATTCAGCCCTGCTTGTCTCAAAGGTCCTTGCTTCCTTACCATACCAGTCAGCAAGGACAGAAGCAATTCTAGGCAAGGTAGGCCAGTAATGGTGGCAAATTCTGGGTCGCGCCTGTGGCAGCAGTGTCTTAAGGGCAGGTACAAATGCTTCCTGTGAACCGGCAGAAAGGAACACCCAAAGACAAAGCTGGCTGGGTTGTTCATGTGGCATGAAAGGGCCGTGCTTCTTGCAAGTGGTTTTATTGTGTTTGTCAGCCTCCCTTTGCAGTGGAATATTTCTCTTCCCGATCTGGAATAGGAATAAAACCACAGATTGTATCAATTATTGTAGTGTGCATTCATTATGTTTCAGTGATGTTTCCCTTCTTACGTTTGTTCCTGGGCCTACCTTTTAGTTGCCCGTTGTGTCCATCTTTCCACTTGCTGCTGGGTCAGATGGAAAGCAATAGACAACGGAATTAATTTTTTGTGGGCCTAATGTACAGCAGCATCTACTTTAGCTGCAAGTTTGATACTGATGCTCATAAAAAAAGCAAACTTCTTGCACAGCAGTTTCTGTAAAATAATATGCAATTAAAATTTATAAAAATCTATTGGACAAAATGTGGAGTTGTTGTACATGGTGAAGATTTTGGTTCCTATCTACACTATTTATCTACTGGTGTTGGGAAAAGCGCTGACAGACCTTTAAAGATGGCAAGCAGGCAAACTTTGTTTCAGCTCCAAACATTTGACCTTTACTACAGCATGTGTTTTTTAAACGAGAATTTTCTGCTGAAACCACCACCGCGGCAATACTGGCAGGACAATTACCGCTGGCTGACAGTAGCGCGCACATTGGAAATCTCTCAAGGGGTTGTGGGCGTTTTCATGGGACGTTCTTTGTCCTGGATCCGCGGGGAAGACCCTAATGCTGAAGCAATGCCCGCCTTTAATGATTTCCGCATTGTTGGTAACTCAGTACCTTTTCTGTTTACTTTGCCTGTGCTCCTATGAGCATTAAAATACTGAATGGCTATTGCAAAAATCTCCCTGAGCTGGAGCAGGTTTGGGAGCCTAGCGTCGGTCGCAGCAGCGCTCGGCCCCAGGCCGGGCCTGGCACAGGGAGGGCTGGAGCTCGCAGGGAGCCGGGGAGCTTTGTCCTTGGGTATTTTATCGATCCATGGTGCCGTTATTAAAAACAGACCTTAACTGAATCTCTATTAGGCACAGGTAACTTCTTCATTTAAGAAATCCTGAATTTTGCCCTGCTGGGTTTAGGGCGTGGAGATGTTTTTTTTTTCCTGCTTGGATGCGACCGGGGCGCCTTCCCCCGCGGCTGCTGGAGGAGCATCGCTGTTACTCGCTATTTCTAGGGGCCCCATGCGGCGATGGCCG